TTTGGAGGAAGTGATGGTGCAGGGACCGCCCCGGGCCACGCCACTCTTCACCTCCTGCACAAGGTCACATGGACCAGGACTCACTCTCTCTGTGGCCTCTCTCTCTCTCTCTGGCCTCTCTCTCTCTCTCTCTCTCTGGCCGCTCTCTCTCTCTCTCTCTCTCTCTCTCTCTCTCTGGCCTCTCTCTCTCTCTGGCCTCTCTCTCTCTCTCTGGCCTCTCTCTCTCTGGCCTCTCTCTCTCTGGCCTCTCTCTCTCTGGCCTCTCTCTCTCTCTCTCTCTGGCCTCTCTCTCTCTCTCTCCCTCTCGCTCTCTCTCTCTGGCCTCTCTCTCTCTGGCCTCTCTCTCTCTGGCCTCTCTCTCTCTGGCCTCTCTCTCTCTGGCCTCTCTCTCTCAGATGATATGAAAGAGAAACATCTTTCTCTTTCATGTTTGTCGGCAGTAAATGTACAGAGTCTTTGGTAACTCTACCCCCCCTGGAGAGGAGGTGACGCAGAGCCGGACTCATCGATTGAAACCAGCACCGCGTGTGTAGGATGTGTGTTCTGTACTTACCTAAAAAATGTCACAAAGAACTGCACCAAATCCATGATGCTGTTGTGCTGAGAAAAGGCAATCTGCAACGAAACAGAGAAGTCCCCATGAAGTACGAGAAACAACACACACCATACACACTGAGAAGTCCCCATGAAGTACGAGAAACAACACACACCATACACACAGAGAAGTCCCCATGAAGTACGAGAAACAACACACACCATACACACACTGCATCCTTCTGTGTGAAGTCGTTTCTGTAGAATACGTTTTATCTTTACATCAGAGTTTTGGCAAGTTTTATAATATAACAGATTTATTTAGGTCTCCCTCTCTCTCCCTGGTCTCTCTCCCTCCCTGGTCTCTCTCCCTCCCTGGTCGCTCTCTCTGCTCTCTCTCCCTGAGTCCTGGGAGCTTTAGACCCAGGTCAGAGGCTGAGTCCTGGGAGCTTTAGACCCAGGTCAGAGGCTGAGTCCTGGGAGCTTTAGACCCAGGTCAGAGGCTGAGTCCTGGGAGCTTTAGACCCAGGTCAGAGGCTGAGTCCTGGGGAGCTTTAGACCCAGGTCAGAGGCTGAGTCCTGGGGAGCTTTAGACCCAGGTCAGAGGCTGAGTCCTGGGAGCTTTAGACCCAGGTCAGAGGCTGAGTCCTGGGAGCTTTAGACCCAGGTCAGAGGCTGAGTCCTGGGAGCTTTAGACCCAGGTCAGAGGCTGAGTCCTGGGAGCTTTAGACCCAGGTCAGAGGCTGAGTCCTGGGAGCTTTAGACCCAGGTCAGAGGCTGAGTCCTGGGAGCTTTAGACCCAGGTCAGAGGCTGAGTCCTGGGAGCTTTAGACTCAGGTCAGAGGCTGAGTCCTGGGAGCTTTAGACCCAGGTCAGAGGCTGAGTCCTGGGGAGCTTTAGACCCAGGTCAGAGGCTGAGTCCTGGGAGCTTTAGACCCAGGTCAGAGGCTGAGTCCTGGGGAGCTTTAGACCCAGGTCAGAGGCTGAGTCCTGGGGAGCTTTAGACCCAGGTCAGAGGCTGAGTCCTGGGGAGCTTTAGACCCAGGTCAGAGGCTGAGTCCTGGGAGCTTTAGACCCAGGTCAGAGGCTGAGTCCTGGGAGCTTTAGACCCAGGTCAGAGGCTGAGTCCTGGGGAGCTTTAGACCCAGGTCAGAGGCTGAGTCCTGGGGAGCTTTAGACCCAGGTCAGAGGCTGAGTCCTGGGGAGCTTTAGACCCAGGTCAGAGGCTGAGTCCTGGGAGCTTTAGACCCAGGTCAGAGGCTGAGTCCTGGGAGCTTTAGACCCAGGTCAGAGGCTGAGTCCTGGGAGCTTTAGACCCAGGTCAGAGGCTGAGTCCTGGGGAGCTTTAGACCCAGGTCAGAGGCTGAGTCCTGGGGAGCTTTAGACCCAGGTCAGAGGCTGAGTCCTGGGAGCTTTAGACCCAGGTCAGAGGCTGAGTCCTGGGGAGCTTTAGACCCAGGTCAGAGGCTGAGTCCTGGGAGCTTTAGACCCAGGTCAGAGGCTGAGTCCTAGGAGCTTTAGACCCAGGTCAGAGGCTGAGTCCTGGGGAGCTTTAGACCCAGGTCAGAGGCTGAGTCCTGGGGAGCTTTAGACCCAGGTCAGAGGCTGAGTCCTGGGGAGCTTTAGACCCAGGTCAGAGGCTGAGTCCTGGGAGCTTTAGACCCAGGTCAGAGGCTGAGTCCTAGGAGCTTTAGACCCAGGTCAGAGGCTGAGTCCTGGGGAGCTTTAGACCCAGGTCAGAGGCTGAGTCCTGGGAGCTTTAGACCCAGGTCAGAGGCTGAGTCCTGGGAGCTTTAGACCCAGGTCAGAGGCTGAGTCCTGGGAGCTTTAGACCCAGGTCAGAGGCTGAGTCCTGGGGAGCTTTAGACCCAGGTCAGAGGCTGAGTCCTGGGGAGCTTTAGACCCAGGTCAGAGGCTGAGTCCTGGGGAGCTTTAGACCCAGGTCAGAGGCTGAGTCCTGGGGAGCTTTAGACCCAGGTCAGAGGCTGAGTCCTGGGAAGCTTTAGACCCAGGTCAGAGGCTGAGTCCTGGGGAGCTTTAGACCCAGGTCAGAGGCTGAGTCCTGGGAAGCTTTAGACCCAGGTCAGAGGCTGAGTCCTGGGAGCTTTAGACCCAGGTCAGAGGCTGAGTCCTGGGAGCTTTAGACCCAGGTCAGAGGCTGAGTCCTGGGAGCTTTAGACCCAGGTCAGAGGCTGAGTCCTGGGGAGCTTTAGACCCAGGTCAGAGGCTGAGTCCTGGGAGCTTTAGACTCAGGTCAGAGGCTGAGTCCTGGGAGCTTTAGACCCAGGTCAGAGGCTGAGTCCTGGGAGCTTTAGACCCAGGTCAGAGGCTGAGTCCTGGGGAGCTTTAGACCCAGGTCAGAGGCTGAGTCCTGGGAGCTTTAGACCCAGGTCAGAGGCTGAGTCCTGGGAGCTTTAGACCCAGGTCAGAGGCTGAGTCCTGGGAGCTTTAGACCCAGGTCAGAGGCTGAGTCCTGGGGAGCTTTAGACCCAGGTCAGAGGCTGAGTCCTGGGAGCTTTAGACCCAGGTCAGAGGCTGAGTCCTAGGAGCTTTAGACCCAGGTCAGAGGCTGAGTCCTGGGGAGCTTTAGACCCAGGTCAGAGGCTGAGTCCTGGGGAGCTTTAGACCCAGGTCAGAGGCTGAGTCCTGGGGAGCTTTAGACCCAGGTCAGAGGCTGAGTCCTGGGGAGCTTTAGACCCAGGTCAGAGGCTGAGTCCTGGGGAGCTTTAGACCCAGGTCAGAGGCTGAGTCCTGGGAGCTTTAGACCCAGGTCAGAGGCTGAGTCCTGGGGAGCTTTAGACCCAGGTCAGAGGCTGAGTCCTGGGGAGCTTTAGACCCAGGTCAGAGGCTGAGTCCTGGGGAGCTTTAGACCCAGGTCAGAGGCTGAGTCCTGGGAGCTTTAGACCCAGGTCAGAGGCTGAGTCCTGGGGAGCTTTAGACCCAGGTCAGAGGCTGAGTCCTGGGGAGCTTTAGACCCAGGTCAGAGGCTGAGTCCTGGGGAGCTTTAGACCCAGGTCAGAGGCTGAGTCCTGGGGAGCTTTAGACCCAGGTCAGAGGCTGAGTCCTGGGAGCTTTAGACCCAGGTCAGAGGCTGAGTCCTGGGAGCTTTAGACCCAGGTCAGAGGCTGAGTCCTGGGAGCTTTAGACCCAGGTCAGAGGCTGAGTCCTGGGAGCTTTAGACCCAGGTCAGAGGCTGAGTCCTGGGAGCTTTAGACCCAGGTCAGAGGCTGAGTCCTGGGAGCTTTAGACCCAGGTCAGAGGCTGAGTCCTGGGGAGCTTTAGACCCAGGTCAGAGGCTGAGTCCTGGGGAGCTTTAGACCCAGGTCAGAGGCTGAGTCCTGGGAGCTTTAGACCCAGGTCAGAGGCTGAGTCCTGGGGAGCTTTAGACCCAGGTCAGAGGCTGAGTCCTGGGAAGCTTTAGACCCAGGTCAGAGGCTGAGTCCTGGGAAGCTTTAGACCCAGGTCAGAGGCTGAGTCCTGGGAAGCTTTAGACCCAGGTCAGAGGCTGAGTCCTGGGGAGCTTTAGACCCAGGTCAGAGGCTGTTCCACTCATTAAAAAAGTCTTTTGTGGGATGTTTGTGTGTTTCCAACGGCACCGAGCCCTGAATGTGTCTCGTAAAGAACAACACAAAACCTGCAGTTACTGTGGACTAAGTCACACACACAGAGATCATTTATTATTATGTACGGCTTTGTGATGCTAAAGTTAGAAATGCTAAACTTACTTCTTTTTGTGCTAACGACAGATTTTATACATAATTCTTTCTTCTTTGAGAGATTTGATGTGTGCTTCTTTATTATTAATCTATAAGTTAGCCATTTTATTTTACTTTAGTTACTTTACTTTAGAGGGATGAAAACAGCATCTCTTCATCTGCACTGAAAGGTTAAGATAAGAAAACCTTTATTCATCTCTCAGAGGGGAAGTTTCAATGTTGCAGCGCACATACAGGACAGTAGCAACACAAACATACACAGTATAAGTAGCTGCGGTGTTTCTAGGCTAGCTGTAAATGCTATCAATCTGTTCATATAGCATAAAGTTATAAGGATAATAATTAGATAAATCAACATTTTGAAATGATTTTCAAAGCCTAGAATAAATCACATTTGCAGCAGACAAAGCTAGCGACTCTCTCTGTTCTGACCCTTGTTGTTGTCAAAGCAGACGGTCGAGGTTTCGCACAAAACGCTCAGTGACCAAAGCTAACGCAGCTTCAAAGCACAGATTACGGTCTGAGACATAATGTAGAGGTCAAAGCCATTCTCATCGGGCTAATCTGTTAAACACACATCTCTGCTAACTTTAAATCCTGTTGTATTTTTGGGATGTGTTTTCTAAAAGCCCTTGAATGCAGTTTCATATTCTGGCTTATCTCAGCTGCATCTGTGCTGCACCTGATCCTGTTACAGCTAGCGTTAGCTTTAACAGTCCATAATGAATAAGTGACTCTCGCTGTGGAAATCTAATAAAGAACTATTACTGGCCCACCTCTGCTGATGGACTGACCCCCAAGATATGGTTACCCCCTTCATGGTCCAGTCATCTAAAGCGGCGGCGCAGGGAGAAAGAGAAAGGGCTAATCTAAAAATCTATAGCTCACGCCGCACTACTGGTAGATATGGTTTTATGGTGTGTGGTGATTGCTGGTCCGGCCGCACCATTACAGCCTCCATGCAGCTCCGAGCCACTCCTCTTATACTTAATGATCAATAAGCATTACAATAGTTATATCACACCTATAGCATAAGAAGATGTAGCTTTGTGTGGTTAGATAGCGACGGCTACATTGGACAGATATCATTAAAAAGACATTAGCGTTAGCATTTCCTCCTCTCCCGTCGCAGCTAGCTCATGACACATCCTTCCAGTCGTGTTTTGTGATAGTGTAGATATAGAGTAATGGATGGATGATGGATGTTGGGTCAAAGAGTTTTTGGGCGTGTGTCGAAAAAGGGTCCGTCTGAGTTTTTATGTTCTCCCCACGTCTGCGCAGGTTTCCTCCAGGTGCTCCGGTTTCCCCTACCACTAAAAACATGTACAATGGCAGCAGCTCCAGCACTGGCCCCGCTCCCTTTGGAAACTGCTTGTTTTGTGCTATATAAATAAAGTGGATTGGAGTTATTTTGGTTTTACCCGGTTATATTTTAGTATATTGTATTGTTTCTTTACTTCCTGTTGCGTCCCTTTACTTCCTGTTGTGTCTCCTTACTTCCTGTTGTGTTTGTTTACTTCCTGTTGTGTTACTTCCTGTTGTGTTCATTTGTAGCCCCGCCCACACCTGTGTCAGTCACATGCTCTGAACCTAAACAAAAACAAAAGCGTGTGCACTGACTTTTCCTTTCTCTGGACGACGTTCACTTTGATTTTCAGTCATGGGTTTGAATCCCCGTTGACGATGTCGTTATCCAGATTTCCTCTCATATATTTGTGTTATGTTTAGCTCTCTACAAACTATTTCCAAAAAGTCATTATCAAAACTGATTCGAAAGAGGCCAGTCCTAACTCCCAACATGCACTGCTCTGGAACATTAGGGAAAGTATAATTGTGCGCCAAAAATACTCCTCTCACAAGAGCTACGAGCGGAAATACAATGTTTTGACTCGATTTACGAGGAGCACATGGAGGAGACAGACCCCAGTGTTACAGAGGGAACGATGCTTAAGACCAGGCCTGTCCAACCTCAGGCCCGGGGGCCAACTGCGGTCCTCAGTGTCAGTGTATGTGGCCCTCTGCCTCGCTAACCCACAGCAGTCTTTGAGATCAGTTCACTGTGTCATCCATCCAACTTCAGCTCACAATCACATCCAAACCTTTTTAAACCGGTTTATTCTTTGTATTTTTATAATGTTTTATATTCTGGACTTTTATTAATGTGTGAGATGTTTTTTAATACATTGTAAGGCGTCCTTGGGTGTCTTGAAAGGCGCCATAAAATAAAATGAATTATTATTATTATGTCATACTTCGTTCTACATTCTGTCACTTCTGTTAATGTTGCTAACGAAGCTGGTGAGATGTAAACATGTGTCATTCAGCCAACTCCAGCTCTGTTATAGCTCATTATAAAGCTCAGAACAGCCCGATGTCAGTCAAGACAGTTTTTCAGTCCGTGAGGGCCGCCTCTGGACTAGTCTGAGGAACTAATGTGGCCTCTTACTGAAAAGTTTGGACACCCCTGCTTTAGTCCAAACCCAGCTTTAAATCCTTCAGCACTTTGGGTAATTGAAACATTTTATTAAAATGTATCCAGTATCCACAGACGGAGCGTTGTCTGCTGCTGTGAGGAGCGTGTGATGAGAGTTTGGATGAACCGCAGTGAGGTTTTTGCTTCTTCTGTTAAAGTCTGAAGAGGCCCCGAGGTGAAGAGGCCCCGAGGAGCCAATAGTTTCTGTTTTCCATCTGTGTTTGTCTGTCTCCTCAGATGTGGTTCAGTGTCATTAACGCCGTGTGGGACTTTGGTGCATGACACTTAAACATAAAAACTCCTTACATCTCCATGACTAACGACTGCTTTTGGCTAAACGTTTCCGCAGCTGTCATCCCGTCAGCTCTGATTGGTCGCTGCCATCGCTCGCCGCCGCCGTGATTGGGATAAATGACCTCGGTCCATATTTGAATTAAACTGGCTGGTTTTTGTGGATGGCCCAAAACTGGCATTTGTTGTTGTCAGAGCATCAGCCAATCACGGGCCTCGTGGAGAAGGTTAAATGGCGCTTTGCCGTTAGCCCGTTCAGAAACAGCTGTGCTAACCGCTAACAGCCGATAATTAAGGCTCTAATTAGAATAAAGTGCACTTGAAATCACCCTGAACAAGAGACGCTACCTTCGTGATCATCACGTCACTCTGGGAATTATTACTACATACAGTCTCTCTCTCTCTCTCGTCTCTCTCTCTCTCTCGTCTCTCTCTCTCTCTCTCTCTCTCTCTCGTCTCTCTCTCTCTCTCGTCTCTCTCTCTCTC